ACTAAATTAAATATTATATAATCCGTACAGTCAATTTATAATACACTAACAAAATGATTAATTTTATATTTCTGAAATTTTATATTTTCAATAAAATTTAAATTTGTAATTTTAAAATAAAATATAAAATTTTTAATTATTATATTACTGTAGTATTAATAGTTTGTTTTATAAATTATTATCAATATATATATATATATATTGAGAGGTTTACATGATCATTTTCTTCTTAACATTTTTAATTAGTAAGTACTCAACAAGTTGTTCAGATGTTTACACATACATATATACATATATATATCTCTACCTACCTTACTAGCTATATTTATAAATAGCTTTCTAAATTTATATAACATTATGCATATGGGTGAGTAATAATGTATATAATGAATTCCTTTATATATGCAAATGAATCTTTTCCGTTGTTGAAGATTCAAAAATGTTAATCCAATCTTTTTTCGTTGGATTAAAAGCTACGAATGGTGTCAGGGTATCGTGGGATTCTGGTTGTCAACCAGAAAGACTATATATAGAGAGAAAGGAGAAGATGAAGAGGAAATATATATGTATACATACGTGTATGTAGTCTTTACATATATGTCCACTACAGAATAATATATATATATATATATTTGTTCATGCAGCCTTCCGGTAATGGTAAAACAACATTGATGGATTACACAGCATTATTTAATTTATATACACACATAGTCCACAGTAATTTCCTTAATTAAACTATTCATTTAAGCACTAAACAAAAAGCAACTAATTAGGTCAGATGGAAATTAAAGAAAGATAGAATACAAGCAGCCACCACCATTATATATATATATATACATGTATATAATTTAATAAAGAAAAATCAATTTTGAGAGGAGAACTTTAGTGCGATATACATTAAGCTAATTAATTAGTTTTCTGCAGAGGACATTTTAATGGAAAGGTGACACATAAAGTCGTCATTCTCTCACAAATTTATGAATTAACAAATTGATATTCTCTCTTTTGGTGGAAGCTTGAAAAGTGAAATACCGATACCCAAATTAAGACTCCAAAAATAATAATCACATCTTGATATTTATTATCTAATCCCCGAGGTTTATTTGTTAATCATGAATCTCTCTATTTCTTCTACTGTCTTTATTTCTTTAGACTATTGTTGATCGCCGTTGACTTAATTGTTATAGAGTTTATATCCTATCATATTCAATTAAATCGTATCTATTTTACGGGTTTAAGGTTTTTTAGTTTTATTTCATTATTTTTTATTTATTTTCTCAATTCATAATTGTGCATGATCACTAATTTTAAATCCGTATCGGAATAAAAGCTATAGGAAATCGAAAAAAAAAAAAAAAAGTTTAAATACATTCAAATAGGAAAAAACTTTCTTTCCTCCCACCAAAATGGAAAATCGTACATGGCTTCTAACCAAACTAAATCTTATACGTATATATATATATATATATATGGTGGGATATAGTAACTTTTTTACTTTTCTTTTTGAGATTAGGGTACAATTTAATATAAAATTAGGACCATATTACGGGCTTAATCTCCACACTTTCCGAGTACACTCCCATTAAATGCCCTACCTCATACTCCATCTTATTATCTAAACCCTAAATATTTCCTTAAAAATTGAAGCATAAATGTATCTGGCTAGGTCATAACTCCTACTCTTTTAAAACCTCCATTATGGCAGCCTCGTGGACAATTCTTCAAGTAATTTTAATTTAAGAACACTTAGTTAGAGAGAAAAAGAAAATGACCTTTGAAGAAAGGGGTGCCCTACACAATCCCCCATTAAGAGTAGGAAAACCCATGGCTCTTGTTTTAGTGGAGGAACAACACAAATATATCATCAAATATTATTCCAACGTCATTACCACACTCAAAAAGCTAAGTGGACTTCATTGCTTACTACCATCAACCAAATCCCACAAACACTTCAACCCACTGCCTTTTAATTATTATACATACATATATATATACACACACACGTCCAGTCGAAAACAACTGTCTCCTAGAGCTCCTCACCTTCACATTCTTCTTGCCTAAATAAGTTATATATGTGCACATATGCATATGCTGGCAAAGGATCTATACCAATTAATAAGACCTCCACCTTGTGTTTTGCCATGTGGGATTTGGCCCATCCCCACTCCAACCAAACCCTAATTATTTTTTATTCTATATGTTTAATAAATTAAGACCACATGGATATATATGTATGTACAAAAGTTGTGGTACGAAATGGGTATGCAATATATTTTAGGTCTATACTTATTGGCTTATTATATAATTAATTTTTAAGGACAGGCTCCCCTGAATGAGAGGGGAAACTCAAAAAAACATTCCCCTAAAAGAGAGGGTAGTGGACTCAAAAGATTCCTTCTTATTAGATTTTGAATCTTAATTAATTAATTGGATATATATATATATATATACACACACACACACCCAAATATATTATCTGGAGACGTGCAGTAAATTCTTGAAACGCTTTTATACATGAAAAGAAAGTGGAAAAGAAAATATGGAAATTATTTAATTAGGCTCTACTTATGTATTTTTGGTAATTAATTACCTAATTAATTTTTCTGAAAAGAGAACACTACATGAAGAATCAGAGAAAGCAGTAGGATTACAGATATGTGAGAGACGGACATGATAATAATGATGATGGATGATGGTATTATATCTACATGTATGTGTGTGTGTGTATAAATACAGGAAATTAAACTGATAGAATTAAACTGCTGTGGGTTGTGGAAGATGAGGCAGCAATAACATGATACTTGCACAAGTAAAAAAGAGTGGAGTTGCATGCATGAGGTCCCATATATATATATATATATATATATAATTGTATATGTAGAATATTCTCTGATTAGATTCTTTCAACTGATGCTTGTAAATCTTCTCCAGCCCCATAATGGGAGAGAACCCACGCCCACACCCACTTCCAATCCAAAGACATGCTTTTATTTTTTTTAACACTATCAATTGATCATTATTAATCAAGATTTAATTATAATTATCACTTCACCCACAGTTAATTTTTTAAAGATAATTACATTTTTTTTAATTAACCTCATCAAACTTGAATTGAGTAAACACGAATTAAAATATTTATAAGAAAAAACCAATTATATAGATAAAATTTTAATTGAATTTACACGTAAATATACATAAGATACAAATGTTCTTTAAAAATTAACGGATTAAATATAATAATTATAAATTTCTCAATTTTTTTTTTTTAAAAATATATATATATTCAGGATGAATTTTATTACTTGGTCAAGACGGCCGAATTGATTTTAATTATGAATTATTGGCAATTTGTCAATATATATATATATATATAAGAAAAGTAGCTCATAACTTACCTTTTTCCAGAAACAATGGAGGAAAAAAGCAAAAATCATTTCACCGGACTTTGAAATATAAATTTGAAAATTAGTTCATAAAAATCATAATAATTAAGCTAATTAATTTGGTTTAAGAAAAGAATGATATTGTTATACACAGATGAATGATAATTAATTAAATTATGGTTTTGCAAATATTAAATAATATTTGAGTTAATTCATTGAAACTAGTCCATTTAATTACCACAAATGCATTTTCCCCCCTTGTTTTTCTTAATTATTATCTTTCATTAGTGATTCAAATTTTCTTGAAAATTTCACCACACACTTTTAAAAAAAAAAAAAAAGTAGTTCACATTATTGGGAACTACTTTTCCATAGAAAAAAATAACACAGGTCGTAATAATTAGTAAGTAGAAATAATAAATATGTGTGTATGCAATTAGAGTTATTTATATATATGGTATGTACGTACGTATGTAACACGACATGGTCACTGTGTGAGGTCCCTAACCTAGTCGTTTTGCAGTTCAAGAATTTTAGTGGGTGGGTCTTGTGTAAATGCTCACAATTCTCACACCCTTCTTATTTTTTGGGGGAAACGTAATTTGCTTTTTGTTTTTATTTTGCCTTCCAATATTACATTTAATTTTTAGTAAATATCATATATATAAATATATATAGTTATATATGTGATTAGAGTTTTAGTTAATACGTATCATTTTATGGGAGCTTATAATTTAAATTACATGTAATTATTACCAAAATTTTATATATTTATGTATGTGTGTGTTTATCCAAAAATATATATATATATATATATGTGTGTGAGTCAATATCCTTTGAATTACCAAAATTTCCAGATTTTAAGAAAAAAACAAGAACTCCCTTACCCTTGGTAATTAAACTGATTATATATGTCCCAGACCATGTTTGTAATTGTAATTGTCATTGTGTTATGTATGTATATATATATATATATATATATATATATATATTTAAAAAAAATAAATAAATAAATAAATAAAAGTCATATATAGAATAAATTATTAATTTTTAATTGTGATACTTCCTTTAATGTCTGAAAATAAGAGGAGCCAACGACATTTTTCTCATTTAAACTTCTACACGTCTCTCTTTCTCCCTCACTAATCACTATATATACATATACTCACTCCTCATTTCATACCTCCTCCCTCTCATTTCCCCGTTACAATGGTGAAGTTCTCCAAGGAGCTTGAAGCTCAGCTAATCCCTGAATGGAAGGAAGCTTTCGTCAACTATTGGCAGCTCAAAAAGCACATTAAGAAGATTAAACTCTCACAACAACCAAAATTATCACCTCTTCATCAAGACTTTTCCCATGATTTCGGCCGCTCCATTCTCGACCCTGCCCGATTTGTCGCCCGCAAAATCTGCCACCACTTGTTCAACTCCCGTCACAGCCCCCCCGAGATCATTCAGGTAACTCACTTCTTATTCTGGGTTTTTGCTTCTGAAATTTTTTCAAAGTAAAAAGAAAATCTGGATGGTGTAATTTTTGGTTTACAGAGAGAATACGGGTTTGAGTTTAAATTTTCTAATGTGTGAGTTTGATCGGTCCCACCCAAGATCTCATTCATGAATTAATGAAAGTTCTGGTACCTACCTTCCCCCTCCCCTGCACTCTCAAGTCGGTCAATCACCCTAAATGATGTTGTCATCTATGTGACTATATTTCTGGTTCCTTTGAATTTTTGTTGGGTTCTTATATTTGTTTGGTATTTGTCACTAGAATATTTTGGTGTATATAATTTGGTAATTGTATTTGAAATTATTTAAAAATAGGGATGATGACGATTCTGTCACGAAAGTAATAAAGAGAAACGGATGTGAATGCTCATATCACGAAACCATCGTGACTAGCATAACAGATCAATAAAAACACCATACCCAATTCACAACCAACTCAGGTGAAAAAGATAATGACAAGGAAACACCAGAAGAAGAAAATTTTATCAACTGCTTTTTTGTGTTGGATTACAGGTGAGAAGGAAGAGTGGTGGAGAAGGGGGTCTCGGGGAGGAGGTTTACCAAACAGACCTTGTTCAATTGTTCTCCGAAGAAGACGAGGTATATCATATAGTTTCTCCAGAAGTAATTGTATATATGTGTGTGTGTGTGTGTGTGTATGATGAGGATGATGGTGATGGTGATTATGACGAACAGGTAAAGGTGTTTTTCGAGAGATTAGACGAAGAATTGAATAAAGTGAACCAGTTTTACAAGACTAAAGAGAGTGAGTTTTTGGAGAGAGGAGAGGTTTTGAATAAGCAGCTACAAATACTCAAAGACCTTAAGCACATTCTTAGCGAACGTCGCTGCAAATCTTCTTCCGGGATTCTTCCTCGTTCTTGGCCTTCTCCTGCTACCAACTCTGATTTCTCTGGTACTCATCATTTCTCATCATCATTCATTAATAACGTGGTGGGATTTCACTGCTTCTATTTACAATTCAATTTGCAGATTCTGTCTTTATTTATTTCTCTTGTCTGCTGCCCTGCTTTGCCAATATTATATGCAGTTTAGTCACACTCACCTCATATATTTTTCCCAATAAACAAACACCTCCCTGAATCTTCCAAAAACTTTTCGTTTTAATTTTCTTTTTCTCCTTCCAGATATAAAATCTAATGAAAAATATTTATGGAGGGTATTCATTCGTTTATGGATACTTATTAGTTATGGTCACTATATGAATCCCATTTACTATATACATATATGTTTAAGGATTTAACAGGATATAATTCATATGCAAGATGATTTTTGCATTCAAATGAAATCAAATATATATGTATATATAAATTGATGGAATGAATTGTTATACTTGGAGCAGATGTAGAAAAATGAAAGCTGCATTTTTATTCAGCAAACCAGTGCTTTCTTATAGGGAATTACATGTACTTTGACTCAACTCTTTATCTCTTATCCAATAAGAGAATCATCTCCCTAAAGAATATGACAACTCAAAAACAGAACACAAACAAAAATATTTAATCAGCAAAAAATATCTAACATGAATAATACGCAGAGAGTCCAAGAGAATCGATTGAAAGTCCGGGTAATGAAGCGTCAGAAACAGAGGAAGTAATAGCAGCTCTGGAAAGAAATGGCGTCAACTTCATAAACTCAGCAACGAGGAACAAGACGAAGAAGGGGAAACCAAAAATGGCGTTGAGAATCGACATACCGGCCACCACCCCAATGCGGACAATAACGGCGGTTACGTCGGTGCTTTGGGAAGATCTGGTCAACAACCCAAAAGCCGATGGGCCCGGAGACTTAATCAACCGAAAGAAAATTCAGTGCGCCCAGAAAATGATCAGGGGTGCTTTTGTTGAGCTCTACAGAGGTCTTGGACTCTTAAAGACTTACAGGTAATTTATTTTTATTTTTATTTTTATTTTTTTCAATTTATTATAATTTCTGCATATACTACTATGTATGAACACGTAAAAGGGAAAGAATATATGGTGACAATTAATGCAGGTGATGTGTTTTTGTCTTTTTCTGAAAACGGCCTGAGACTAAATTCCTCAGGACCCTGGGGTTTGGTGGGGAACCGCCTTGGGCGGTGACCCCGCCGCCCGTTAATTACTCTCATGCCACCCGTTGACCCTATGGTGTTGTATGTTGTCTTGTATTTTTCATCTGCTCACTGTATTTAATAAATTACCTAATTCTAAATATGGTAATTTTTTTTGTCACAGCTCACTCAACATGATTGCTTTTACAAAAATCCTCAAGAAATTCGACAAGGTAATTTTTGTGCATAAGGATATAAATGAAATTGGAGAAGACATAAAATCAAAAGTTTCTTTTTTGGTTCCTCTGCTGTACTTTTGGTAAATATAAGGTGTAACTAATCAATCCATGTAAGCTTTGACAGTTTAATCTTGAATTGATATTTAAATATATATATATATATAGAGAGAGAGAGAGAGAGAGAGACAGAGAGTAATAGTCTGAATCTTTCTATAATGCTATAGAAATTTTAAAATCAATATCAAACTTCAACCATAAATTTATGTTTGCCATTTTCTGAAATTAATGAAAGGTAATAATTCCACCAGTTAGATCAATTGTTTCTCAGGCAATTACTTACCATGTGATGCCAAACAGGTATCTAATCAACAGGCATCATCAAGTTATCTTAAAGCAGTGAAGAGATCCCATTTCATTAGTTCTGACAAGGTAACAATTTATACATACATACATACATATATATATATATATAGAGCGAGAGAGAGAGAGAGTACATGGGCTTACATGGGACATTCTGTTCAATCTCATGGATAAAGAAAGTGATAAATTGGTACTTACTGAGTTATTGTGCTCATTAAGTTGTTTCTTATCTTTTATTTTTCTTTTCCTGAAAAAAATGATTTAAAATGTTTTCAGGTCTATGAGAATATGCTATATAATCTCTGTCAACATCCTCATTGGCCCTCTTCAGCAAAGATTACAAATTTGGTATGAATCGATCTTGTGCTCACTGGGGAAAGTTTACACTTCCTGGATATATAAGTAAATGTCATGCATTTTATTGGTCAATCCCTGCTTGCAGTTTGTCCTATTACTTACAGTTCCATGCTTTCCTTTTGTACTCAGGTGAACTTAATAAATAACTTGATTGAAAGGCATGCAAGTCTTAAGCTCGACTGTTATAATATACTTGCTGCTATCCATTGTTTGCTTGGTA